AGTATATCACAGACCCAACGCAGCCAAACGTGGCTTCCATGACACCATTGATTCCAGCGTCGGGAGCTCGATAAGTGAGCAGTGTGGCAGTTGCGACAAGGCGAAACTCATCTCCTCCGCCGATGGTAAAGTTTAAATATACCATAACTAATAGAGAGAAATGCAAAAAAAAAGAACATTTTAACTTTTACTACATTGTAGTAAGGACAAGATTTGATTCTTACAGTTTAGGAACCAAGTATTAGAATAGTTTTGCCTTCAAACTTTCATCATTTATTTTTCATTAATATTGATAGTCACTCATTGGATCTCGAAAATATTAATTAAAATGAAGTGTTTTGAAGGGCAAAAGCGGGCAGTAATGGGTTGGCCGCCGGTGAGATCATACAGAAAAAAGACAATAGAAATGAACAACTGCAAGTACGTAAAAGTGGCAGCGGATGGGGCGCCATATTTGCGTAAGATCGATCTCGAGATGTTCAACAGCTACAAAGAGCTATTCAACACATTTCGGAAATTGTTCATCTCATTTCCCATATGTTGTGAGTTTCAATTCTAATTCAACCCATATAATTTTGATATTAATTAAGGATTGGAATTTAAACAAGATTGCTAAAAAGTTAAAGTTTTAGGTGATTACTTGGAAGAAGGCAATATTTTGAACCCAATGAAGAGAGCAGATGAGTACTTGCCAACTTATGAAGATAAAGATGGGGATTGGATGTTGGTTGGAGATGTCCCTTGGAAGTAAGTTTGATTAATTATTATTTCTCCTAATCACTTACTTTTTGTTTGATTTTATTAGTATTACATGATATAATTTAATTAGTTAAACTTCTCCCTTTCTAAATTGCCAGATTGTTTATTGAATCTTGCAATCGTATTCGTTTGATGAAAGGCTCAGAGGCCAATGGTATAGGTATTTTTCTTTATTAATTAGGAAATTCACTTTTCTTTTTTCCCAAATTAAAAAAAAAAAGGGCATGTTTTATTGATTTGTGAGTTTGTCGTTCACTTTTATGCAGCTCCAAGAACCCCATGAAAAGGAGGAGATGAAGCTTTTGGATGAACAACCTTTTTTTTCTTCTTTTTCTTTTTTAATTTGTTAAAGTTGTATTCAAAACATGCTTGTAGTTATGGCCCCGGGCTTGATTATGTGATTAGGCCTTCGTTAATTTTGTATAATAAATGTCAATTTGAATAGTAATCTTTTTAGATATTACAGTATTCGATAATTACAAACAATTACAGCATATCCTGAATATAGCACAACTGATTGAAGTATATATCTGATAGGACCTTAAGAGTATTTAAGATTATTATTAGAGGTACTTAGACCCTCCCCAGATATCACTCAAGATTGAACCACTAAATAATTACATACCTTCATACTTACTCCCTCGTTCAATTATATTTATAATAGAACCCTACTAACAACTTTCTTACTTATTATTAATGTATCCTTAATACTCTAATAATAACCCTAAATATCCCTAAGGTCATTCCTATCAATATCATCAATCAAAAGGTTGAAAGTTCGAATCTTCACCCATGTTATTGAATTAAATTTTTTTTTTTTGAAGTAATCAATGTAACAATATTACTTGCCCCAAATAACATTCTTACTTTATATGATCAAGTGAGTGAGGGTAATTTGGAGGGCAGAGTCATATTAAGTGTAGATATAGCTAGCAATCTGAGATATGGATTTTGTTAAACCAATTATATCACTAATTTACGTACAACCCGAATCAGAACCTGCATTTACATGAGAAGCAAGTGTGTTCACCAACTATAAACTCAAAAAAATCTAAAGTTCGTGTCAATCAAAGTATAGCATAGTGGGTATAGTACCAATTATCTTTATTGAGGTTAAAAGTTTGATCCCCCACCCACAATGGTTAAACACCAAAAAACAAAAAATTGGAAAAAAGAAGCAAATAAGACCTAAAGTTTGTCCATTTATTTGGAAACCATACTGACTACCAAAACCCGAAGTCAACTAGTGAAAGGGATATATGTTTATGAACTAATACAATCCCCCCTAATTTAGATAAACAAGTCTGAGGTCAATCTTGACGTAGCTTCAACAGGTAGGTCCAGAGGTTTGGTGGCCATGTTCTCCCCCTTCCATGTGAGGGGCTCGGGATTAAAACAAAATCTTAGACATAAGGCTTTATAAATTAATGGAAAAGTCTTCCTCCTTTGTGACTCAAAATGAGCAGAGAAACACACGACAACCATAACAAATCCAAGTTTATTGTATTAAGAATGGTTACCTTGCCTATCCCGATATCTGTAGAAAATGCCTCTGGCTTTATCTTGAAATTGTAGATATCGTTCAAAAAATGTAGATGCATGAAATTGCAGTGAGCAGTGTGGTTAATAATACTGAGACAAGGTTGACAGCATTGTTGTCAAGAATGTTGAGACCTGATATCTTTTTTACTGTTGGTCCTGGTTTTCCAACGACCTGCACAAATAAAAACTCCTTTCTTTGAGCGTCAAATAACGATAATCAGACATGTTGAATATTTGTTATTTCAGAAGCTAATAGGTTAGCTGGTTATTTGATCTAGGTCCGTTTTATAACGTTCACGTTTCTTGTTTCTGTTTCCTCCTTTTAAGAAATAGAATTGCACAATCACACCACCCGTAGATTCAAGAATGATGAAACAATATTTTTATTTATGTTTTGGAACAAATTGGAAACAAAGACGAGAACAAAAAACTTGTTTTTATTGTTTCCAAAATTTCAATAAAATTTTGAGAATGTTTATAAAAAATGAGAAATAAGAAACCTAAATGGCTGCCAAATACTTATGTTTCTTAATAAAATTAGAAACGAGAAATAAGAAACAAGAAACAAGAAACAGAAACATTACCAAACAAGTCTCTAGTAACTGCATAAATTTCAATTATTTATAACAGGCTTTACTTTTCACTAATATACCACAATATTTCTGTCCTCTATGGAAGGTAATGCCCCTGTATAACAATTCTGGTCCTTTAGTTTGCTAAGAACAAAATCAGTCGTTTAAAGGGCATGTGAACTACAGTTGTGGGAAATTAGAATACATTTTAAATCCATAACCTGAAAATGAAATAACTATAGCCTACCTTATTACGAACAGTGCAGAATCCACTGAATTGCACTGTTGCTCCCAATAGAGAGTCTATGACACTTCCACAAAGTCCAGCCATGGCTGCCAGGGGAATTACCAATAGCTGTTTCAGTGCTGTGCCATAAGCACATTCTGTAGTGAAAAAACCGATGAGAACAAACGCCAATCCTATGACACCACCTGCAGCTGCAGCTGCAAGGAGCCCTGCATTTGTAACAGCACCATTTGTACCCTTACGAACAGGCTACACATCCAGAATGAAACAATATCCAGATCAACAACAATTTATTCGTCCATTCAGTATGAATTTATGTCAGGTTGCTGGTAAGACCTACGCCTACGGTTACATGCATTAAGAGTCAAATCAACGAAGGAAAACTAAATTCCTAACTTGAAACAAATACCAACATCTTTTACAACAACAACAACAACAAAAAATTGCAATCAGAAAGCAGAAATTTGGCTTGCTATTTTCGAATTCAATATGAAACATATTCTAGAAAAGGAAAATGACAGCTCAAATTATATGTGTCCCTTATGCTAGAGATGTGTAGGGGCTAAAATAGACCAGAAAGGTTATGTATCAAACGAGTAAAGAACATGTTATAATCAAGAAATATTTAATAAATGAGACAAAATGTTAGAATCGAGATATATTTGAATGAACTGCACACCTTGAAGGTTGTGATCAATCGAGGTGTTGCATCACTAAGAATTCCAAGCTCAGAAGACCACGTGTCCCCATTGCAGCAGGAGTAGTGCCCAAGAATCCCGCCAATGAGGCCAGTGACAAGAGCCGAGTCTTTAGAGTCCAGGCATTTATCTTGCCATCCTGAAACGTTCCAAATAACCACAGCCAAAACTGTAGCAATACCACTATTAGAAAGAACTTGAATCCTGAAAAGGAGCAAAAAAAATTAATCAATGATCTGGCCAAAACTTCAGTAGAGTAGGTACTGAAATATCTAACTACAAAAAATCAGTGACATGCTGTTCTCCATCAAGCTTTATCTTTGACTTCATCACGGTTACAAATTAATTTTTTCATCTCTTCTCAAAGTGTTGTTCCATGCAGTATGCATGACAAGCTAATTTAGTCATGTCACATGTGGAAGCAACTCAATTTCTGGAACCATTAGAGACAATTTTGCCTGATGGTTTACCATCAAACGAGGACAAACAGAACTTCTTATTTGTTCATTATGATTTGAGTTCGTGAAGATATCATTGACTACATTCTGTGTTGAATTGAATCATATATCCGACGTTACAATTGAGCAAAATTTACATAATTGTGACATTTCAGTTTTTAACTTTAAGCTCTGGCATTGAAGTATGGAATCAACGCAACGACTAAAACACAAATTTCAGTATTTTCCATCAAAATTTCCAACAAAACTTCCAACTAAACAATAAATATAAAAGGTGAATATCCTGAAATAAACCAAAACAACAATCCTGTCAAAAATCTGTTACGAGCTGCTTCACTGATACAAATAACACTCGGGGGAGAAAAGTAGAGGAGGTAGAATTACCAATTTCTTTGACCACCTTCCTTAAAATCGGCATCAACGACTCGTTTCTTCTCTTCCCCAACCTTGGTAAGCTTAGAGGAAGTGAAAAAGAATACCAAAAGCACGGCTCCGTATCTTCAAAGATAGTATTAATTCAACAGTCCAGACCAAAACAGCCCAAGCTATATCAAATTAGTATTCAGAGAACCGGGAAATTCACAATTAAATTGGCAAACCTAACACTCAACAGCGGATAATAGCAAAGAAGTAGCAAGATTCAGCTTCCCAATAAAACCAAAACAACTAGATGGAATTAGCAAACCTGTAACTGATGGCGAAGTGTGTTGACATAACAATAAATCCCGCTAGAGCTCCAGAGAGGTCCAAGGATTTCCTTCGATATGCCCTAAGAGCGATTATCGATGAGATTAGAACCGCAACAGAGGGCTGAATCAGATTATACTCCATTTTGATCTTCAAGCGGATTATCTGTTTCTTCAAAACGGGAAATAAAAGCGTGAAAGTCGTGGTTCCAACAGGCTTGTACGAGTCTCTGCCATATCATCCCTCGGAACTGGGAGTGGAGGGAGGCTACAGAGTGTCTTTTTTTTTATTATTAAAAAAAGAAAAAGAAAAAGAAAAAGTGGGGGTGAGGTTGAACGATGAACCCATTTTTTACAGCTTCACTAATTACTTTTCTGAGTTTTCTCTAGCTATTATTATTTATTATTCAATTTATGTATCATGCGACATATGTTCTACGAGGTGGTTGAACTCAAGCCAAAAATATGAAAATTTAGTCCAGTTCTTCCATTTTCAAACTAAGCTATAAAGTCGAACTAATAATTTGTACTTGTTCAAGGGGTCATCAATTCGAATCTCTAAACCCCACTTGTTGTAAAAGAAAAAAAAATTACATTATAAATAAGAGGAATGGATTCAAATCTATGCCCCATAAAAGATACATTAATTTCTAATTGTTTGATCATTAAGATACAAATCAATCACTAACATTTTTAGAATAATAAGTCAACCTTAAAGAGGAATGTATCACAAAATATAAAATTAAAATATAAATTTAGATTACAACCCTCTTACAGTGTTCGTGATATGAAATGAAATTGTATTATTAAATTTCAATATTTTTTTAAATATTTTTGTTGATTTTTTTTCCAATGTGACGTGTAAAAAAAACATATGTCAATTATTAATAGTTAAAAAAAACTCATTGCATTACTTACAAAAATATAAAAATATGGCGACAATGGTATGTCAAGAGGTTTTTTATTATTATTTTTTAAACAATGTCAAGAGGTTTATTTGAGTTTATAAATAGTTAAAGGAACTTAAATGAATGGTGGTAAAAGTTGTGTATGATGTAAATTAGAGATAAAGTTTACTTATAGTCCCCTGAAGTTTTAAGTGTCTATTTGAACGCGAAATTCAAAAAATAACATTTTAATTCTTAAAGTTGAGAAATGGTTCTAAATAGTCTCTTAGTCCCTTAGTTCTAAATAGAACCATTTCTACGTTAATTGACTAACGAAAAAACGATGTGGCCTAGTTGAGGTGGTAAATTTTATTGGTTCTATATTTGTTTGAGTTTATGTGCTTATTTTTCTTTATCTAGTGACTTTTTCGATCTTAATCTTTATTAATTAATTTCATTAATTAATAGTTTTGTGATAACATGCACACTTAGTATTAATATTTTTGATGTGTTAGAATTATTATTATTATAATACATAAATTAATTATGAGCTCCAAATCATACTATATAGTTTATTTATAATCAATCTTTAATAATGATTTGATGTTTTGAGGTGTTCATATATCGTAGAGATCAAAACAGCGATCCTACGTGGCATAACGACTTGGACAAATGTGTGAATCAAAAACGAAGGCATGGGCATGGTAATGTTATGACATAGCATCTATCATGGCACTCCAATGCTCATGATATTGATGACATGGCACCACAATAGTTATATTTAAGACACAGCGGACATGAACCAATTAGAATTTGACTTGTGACAAAATCGGTTAAGTATGCAAAATGAAAAGTTCATAAAGACTTAAATTTAATTTGTATTTTTTAAATTAAAATTTAAAAATATATTAATGTAGGTATTACCTAAAGTTCAAGGTTAATATCATTAAAAAAATTACATTTACACTTTTACAATTTGAGGTAACACCAGATTTATTTTAGAAATAAATTGACATAAACTTTTTATATTATTCTCAAATTCTAACTCTTCACTATTGTAACTTTTAATTTTGAAGTCCAATTTGTATGTACAACAAATTATTGTCCAAAAAACCATTATTTTCTGAAGGCGAGAAAGGCAAGTTTACAAATTTTTAATTTATCAGATGAAGCAACCATGCAACTCTCTCTTTATTAACAAATGTACAACCAAATAAAGCTGTACGCACAAGTTGGCCCATTCAAATCCAAAATGACATCTGTTTCACAAACAAAAAAAAAACCAAAATGATATCTTACATCATTTGAACTTCACTGGTTGAACTATCATGAGTAGGTACCAATCCAAATAGGTAATCCAACTAAATTAACAAAATTATGGCTATTCACCAGTTCTCTAAACCTAAGCAAAAACTTAGCAACAAAATGCTCAAACAAACAAGTTAGAGCCCAGCCTAATAACAGAACTTGAGAATTCATCATGAAATATGAAGAATTGAAGATAAAACATTTGTGTGGATGGTGAGATTCTCAAAAATACCTTCCTCTTCCCCGTCCTCTTCCTCTCCTCCCTCTTCCTCCTCCCCTTCCCCTTCCTCTCCCACCATCATGTGCTGTGTATGTATCTCTTTCGTAGTTGAAAATGCTCATTCTTAAATGTTCCGCATTCGCTCTGCTTGCGCTCTCTTGTACCTAGAAAAGTTGCATCCAACATCAAACCTTTAATGTGAAGGATAGTAGAATGTTGTATTAAAAACATATATGTGGGAAACCAGAGTGATGCTAACATGAGAATCTTCCAAATCAAATTGATTTTGAAGCTGCCATGCAAGTTGCTCATCATGACTCGTATAGGAAGATGCATTTTTTGGTATTTGATTTGTCCCAGATTTTCTCCTTTCATATTCTTCTAGAGTATAGACCACCGGATCTTCCATTCTGCCCTTTCCCCTGTGCTTTCTATTATTGAAATGCCGATGGTTTCCATCTTGTTGACTCATTTTGTGGAGTAGTTTCTGAGAGGCGGCCTGATTTTGAACAGGAACAGCTTCCACAACTAGAGGGAACATAAGACGGTAAGTTATCGTTAAGAATAAATAAAGAATTAATTGGTCCAGAGTACAATTAGCATATATGTGAACAAAATTACATAAACTATGAGATGGAAGGATGTCTTAATGGACTTCATTATTAAGGTATTGTTTCGTGTTTCTATTACAATCTCCAAGTATGGAGAATTGGAATCCATTCACTACTTAGGGTATCCAGGAGAAAATACCATGCTGAAAATACTCTTTCCCTCATCCTGTCAGATGAAAAGTCTGGCAGAAGACAGAAAAGCATAGATTTAAAGACATAATTACCTTCCTTTGGTCTTGTTTCAGAGCTACTAGGTTTTTCTTCAAGCTTTTCTACACCGGAAGCAGAATTGACAGAATTGGTAGCTTTCACATCTATACTTTGCTGCAATGTAGTTGATTTACTTCCAATATTCCCTGAATCAGCAGTCGGCGTGTTGCTCTTTGAGGACGACTCCTGTTGATCTGTAACGACTCTCTCCATTAGATGAAGCACTAAGAACTTAAGAACAAGAATGTGCTTAATAGTGTACAGATTTATCAACATCCACACACAACTGAAAAATGGTATGAAATTTCATGGTGTAAATAATCCAAGAGGACAGAGAAAAAGATAAATAAGATATAAAACTCTGAAGACAAAAGGTTATTCCAGCAATTTGAATCACATCAAGTATCATGCATAAACAACCATAAAAAGTACATGGGAAAAAAATTCCATCAAGTAACATGAATAAGGAGCCAATAAAAGTAAGTTAAAAGAATGTCCCGCTAATTTATTGAACAAATTAGAACAACTTATAACTCCAAGGCTCCAGTCACGAGTCTTGATAAAAATTTCCGCCGTGCATTCATACATGTTTCTCAAGTCATGACATTATATATCACTAAACTATGTGGTGTACAGTCTACCATGGAAAGATGTAAAAACTAATAACCTTTGCAGTTCACAAGGCACACCAGTCCCAAAATGTGCCACTCTAATGATAGCATTATAAATGAAGAAAGCAAAAACAACAATGTGTAGCTGACAACAGTAACAGCTAGCAAAATGAGGGGAATACAAGTAATACAAGAATACAAGTGCATCGAAAAAAAATACTGACATGAAGATTTTTCCTTCTGACTAAATTTACGTGGAGCCCCAACTTGCAACTTCTCAAATGGAGGAGGACCATCGACATCTCCTCCTTGAGATAACCTTACAGATGCACGAGATAAACCAGAGTATTTTTGGTTCATTTTCCATTCTTCATAAAGTGTTGGAACCATACCTCCAAGCACAGTTAACCCCTTTGAACTTAAACATACAATTCCACCATACACAGGAGATTTATTTTCCAGACGGACCTGCCACCAAAAAGTAGTATGTTAAAAGACATTTTCATAAAATGTACTTTTTATATTACACATTATGAACCAGTCAAGTAAACAATAGTAACAAGCTAATTCTTCAGCAGATCGCAGTAAACTTTGATCCTAAACATTTTTTATAAGAAATAGAAACTTTATAAAATGAGACTTGCAAGAGAGAGAGAGAACCACTCTCATAAAAGCCTAGGAAGGAGTTACAGAGAAGCTATCAATTGGGCGCTATAGTAGAGATTAAATAATTACAAAAAATGAAGACACACAAAAGCCACAAAAGCTATGATATTCCAAAGGTCTTCGTCTTCCCATTGTCTTTGAATATAAAGTCTCCCATTTCTTTCCAACTACAGCTCCCAAAACAAAACATGGATCAACATTCATCTGAATAAATTTGCCTTGCTTCTTGAACCATCGCCAGCACAGAAACACCAAAAGGGCTAGCTTATCTAAGAGAAAATGGGTAGTCCAAGAACATGTGCATGCTTTTTGTCTATTTCTATTACACAAAGTGCACAGGTTAGGAAAAAGATACCTATTGGGTTTCTTCTTTGTAGAACATCATTGAAGGTGTTTTTCATAAGAAATGGTAATTGGTAACTGAGATAATAACTTAGAAAGTTACAAGTGTAGGAGTAGGTCAGCTAAAGGGAATATAAAAGGACCCCAGAATATGCCCCCAAGGACCGCTCGGTTGGCAAGAGCTTGGGGTGGCTCAGAGGTCTCAAGTTCGAACCTTCCGGTGAGCCTAATACCAAAAACTCTTGATGTCTGCCGAATCCGAGCCTTGGGGCAGACACGGTGCCCTTGGATCAAGTATAGGGGAGCAAAGCGCCGGCACCCGATTATAAAAATAAAAAATAATTAAAAATATATATAAAAGAAAAACCCCATAATACAAGGAAAAGTTTAGTTACAAAAATCATGATGGGGAGTATTCCCAACAAACCAACCAGCTAGAGAACTCCCACACTTCTAGCAGGAGTTAGCAAAAGGGTAGGTGAAGAAAAGGTGATTCTGACCTTCGTCTGATTTGTTGCAAAGAGAAAAGGCCATGTTAGGGAGCTCCTTTTGATTCTTATCGGATGTAATCTAAACTTCAGAAAGTTGCAGCCCAAGAAATACATCGATGCTTAGAGGAGGCATTTTCACTTTCTAAATAATCTTAGGCAGGTATGGTTCCAATACTTTAGTACTGCTAGAAAGGTAGTTAGAAAAGGATTTACACATGAAGAGCTTAAAATTATCCAACCTCCACACATTTAGCATCCAAAAGATGGATCGAGTGAACATCCTAAGTTGAAGAGGACAAAGAAACCCAATAAGTTTCTGCCAGAGCTGAGGATCCAACTTTGATTTTGGATCAACCAGCAATCTTTGACTGTCAAAGAATAAGATAGGGACATCCTATACAAATCTTAGGAACTAATTTCTGAAGCATAGGTCCCTCCTCCCATCTATCCTCCCATAAAAGAATTTTAGATCCATCTCCTAATTGACTTGACAGTTACGACTATTGTGCCACCTTACTGATGCAATTAGAGATGCAAGGACTTCCCCTACTTCCTTTTCTCCCTGCCTTCTTCCACCACCCATTATTTTCCAATTATACTCATGCGAAACAATTTTGAACCACAAAGCACCCAGTTAGTGTAAAATTCTGTAGCAGCATTTGGCAATCAAGACTAGGCTCCCGTGTTTGATGTTTTCTATCCCCAGGCTCCTATTTCCATGGAAGACAGGCTTGTTCCAACTTCCAACTAATTAGATTATTAATACTGCATTCGTTAAAATCTACCCAAAAAGAAGTTCCTGATTTTATTTTCCAACGCATTAGCCACATTGTTAGGGATTCAGAATAAGGACAAGAGATAGTAGGGATATTAGACAAAACAAACTGCAGGAGAGTTGGTTTTCCCCTTTTGCACATGGGATTCTTCCAGTTCACAAGTTTACTTGAGATCTTCTCTTCCACAGCCACAGGTTCCAAATTCCCCTTTGGGAAGGTGTTTGATGTGGAGATTCCCCGTTTTGCAAAGAAGGTTGAAAGTTACCCATTCCTCGGATTAAATTGAGGTACTTTCCTTCATCCCTCTCATTATGGGTGTCAGATTCTAGCACCCAGCAGCAACACTCCATAAGAAATGGATGGGAAAACCTTTGCTCTCAACAAGGTTGAACAATGTAGGATAAGCAGCCGAGCCGATGAGGAGGCCTTCCCACATCAAACATGTTCCAAAAGGAAAAGAGAAAATATAAGAAATGCTGCAGCCTGCAGCCATCCACTATCCTTTTACAGTTACTGTCTGGCTGCATTCCAAAGCTAAACATTGCAGTCATAAAAAGTCGTTCTATCTAATTCCATGAGATGCACGCTTATAATGACATAAAATAAATAACAATAAAATTTTCCAAGGGAAAAGGAGCTCAAAAGTATCATATCAGTAGCCAAGTTCAAGTATAGTCGTCCTGCTTTTATATGTTCACAGTAACTGCAGCTTGAAAGAGGCAAGGACTCTATACCCTTGCTGATAATTATGCTATCAATTTGAACCCCGTAAAGCAACTTGATGTCATATGACCAAAGGGTAGTTGTTCTTGATATATAACGGGTATCCACACACTTTGAAATTTATTAATAGCTCAATGACAGATTTAATCAGGATAATCATCTTCAGTCAATAACTTCAGTCATTAAAAAAATAATAACAAAATCAAGAACTTTAACCGTTCGAGATATAGAAGTTATAAAGACCAGCAAGGGGAAATTATCCTGAATACCTACCTTGGTGCCAGGAGGAATATCTTCAAGAACAGATGGTATATGAGAATACTCTATAGCAGTAATCTCAGAGTGTCCATCACTGAGACCGAACCGTAGGAGACGGTGACCACTAGAAGCCTTCAACATACCATCTAGGCTGCTTCGCGATATGTCTCTTACAGATGATATCTGCTAAAACAGCTGAAATCATCTACTAATAAATCATTCATGAAAATAATATGGATGAGAAAGCGAATAATACAAAGAAAAGTTCGGCTACTCTTGGGTTTTCAATCGCCGCAAAATAGTAGGAATAATGAATTTTTGAGCAACTATAAAACATCTGAGAACCAGGAGAGAGTATAATTCACCTGGAGAACAATAGGGCCGAGAATACGAGAAGACTTGCGAAGAAGAGAAGGTTCAGGCAATGACTTGCCCCCAAATGACCTGAGGTCCATGTTTAAGAGCTCCAACTCCACCGAATCAACCACCGAGCTCGGATCATCGGCCAAGGCGCTACTGATCATGATTACGCCCCTAACTTCGTCCAAATCGCCGAAACTCCATCCTCTCGCTCGTAATGTTTCAAGCACAGCGACGGAATTATCCGTCGTCGTCTCCATGTGATTACGCGCCTTGGCTGAAATTTGCACTTGCCTTCACTAACCGGTCCGATTCCTTCGAACATTTCCGTGGGAAATCCTTCTAAAGAAAGTCTATCATATACCCTAATTTAAGATAAATTATATTATTAAATGTTTCTTTTTTTTTTGTTGACATGTTTTTCGCATATATTCTACATCAAAAAGTTTAAGGATGAACTAAAATAAATTTGTTCGAAAGACAGTTATTTTGTTGAAATACTAATTTTTAAAAGATTTGAAGCGATAACCAATTATTAACCAGGGTGCCAATGGTTGACTGATAAATTTTGGTAAATCACGGGTTGCCACATAATAATGACAAAATTTCGACAAATCACAAGAAGTCGATCAAGATCACGATCAAATCAGAGACCGATCAAGATCATCGTCAAGACAAGATAAAGGTCGATCAAAATCAATAAGTCGATCAAAATCAACCAGCCAAGAATTCAAAGAAAATAATCAGCTAATATTATACGAACCCTAAATATCTATACAAATTGTACTTAGTCAACGAATTATAATTTATCTGGAAATTTCATGTGAATAGTCATATATGCATTAAATATGATTTAAATAACCAAAGGAAGCATAGCTCAACGATAATTGGCATATATCTTCAATCTTACTATCATAAATACTCATCATTTAGCATCCAAATTTTGTGTCTATTGCCCAGTGTTTCATGTATCTTAGTTGCAATTTTTTGTTAATGTCTATGGGTAGAAACTGCTTGTTGCCCAAATTGCTTATAAATAGAGGGAATTGATATTGATGAGAGTGTGTGAAAAGAAATAGAAAAATCGAATAAATAATCAAATTTTTCCATATTTTAGTATTACATTCGCTTGGAAAATAGAATGATATGTGAGTCATACATTGGATTGGATTAAATTATTAATAATCATGAATTTCACTTTCGTTTTTACAAGAGAGATCCAAACTATAAAATTTTTGCTTTACCATTATTTTGAAAGGCTAAAAATATATATTTGTTCAATTGAAAGAGAATAAATATTAATTTAAGTTTGATCCTTGTAAAATGAAAAAAGAGATTACTTTGCAGGTACGAACTTTCGAAAAATATTTATAAATGACTTGTTTTTTTATAGGAGGACATTACTACATGTAAATACGGGTGCATAGTGGAAATCGGTGCTCCAATGCATTTCTCCCTTTGAATCGAAATAAATATGTTTTTTAACCCTCTCTTTTGAATTAAATGTGTATGTTCCCACAACAATCACTTGTTTACGAAAAGTAAACTTTAGAATGGTTTTTTCAATGGGGTCAGTATTTTTTTTAGGGCGAGGGTCAATATTTTAACCTCTACATTTTATTTTTTATTATCTTTCAATAAATAAAGCAAAATTTTAACATATTAGAACGGTTACTAATGAGTGAGTCGTGTTTAGATTTATAATATTGAGAAGCTATTAAAAATTTTTAAAAAATCAAATTGTTTTATTAATATAATAAAAATAAAATAAATCACAAACATTAAGATCCACAGATATTGTTATTTTATTGATGAAAGCCCGACTTTGATTGTGATACCCAAGTTTTTGTTCTTAATGAAAGTCATTGTAAAATAGAGAATATTCTGAAAAAAAAAATGTGACTACAAAATAATTAACATAGATCTTAGATAATTAATATTGAACTTAGATGATACCCAATATAGAGGATAGATAAAAGATTTACTCTACATATTGATATTAAAAGGTCTAATTATATGTTTAAATATTTACTCTAATTTTTTTTAATATCCAGATTTAAAGATATTGACTTCATAAACCATCATTTTTTAAGTATTAAAGTTATATTAACCCATTATAATTCCAATGACATTTTGCCTTACAAAACTAACTTGACAAAAATAACTTTGGATTGTTCGATAATTTCTCTATTTCTGTTTCTGTTTCTCTTTTTTAATAAAAAATAATATAGTTACATGGTTCCAACATCCATAAATTTAAGAATAATAAACAAGATATTTATTTATGTTGGAACAAATTGAAAAGAGAATAAGAAATAAAAATAATAAACTCTTATTTTCAAAATTTCTATACAATTTTAAAATATTTACAAAAAATAGAAATAAGAAACATAAATAATTGTTCAAAGTTTAGATTTCTTGATATAATTGAGAAAGAACGTTACTGAACAGACTCTTTATCTACGACGTTCAATAACAACATAGATTTAAGTCTGGCAATGGATATCTTCACTTGCAAGAGATTGTGTTAGCTGTTTCAAAGGCACATCACATACAACAAAAAGTTGTATCATGTATGGTTAATATTTACATGCTGGAACTTCAATGGACATCTTCTACCTGTCCTTACAGAAATATTACTTTTGACTTTAGTTACTAAGGGATTAGTCCATATCTAAATACAAAAGACGCGGGACGTATGGTTATCAACAACAGACAGTTTTCAGGTTACCATTTTGGTTGTAGAAGAGAGCTCGTCGGTTTCATTACTGCCAGAGCTTGATACAGCTGTCGTGACTCGCCGAAGCGACTAGACCAGTAACATGTGATGCAGCCAAGGCTGATACCAGCTTGCCATGAGCATGCAGTGTCCTTGTCTTGTTTTCTGTGATGTCCCAAATCTCCAGTGACTGGAAACCAACAATTCCATTTAGAACAGAACAATCTTAATGTTAATATCTTCATTACAGGTGTGCTCATTGTTTCACGACTTTGATGCTAAATAATATCATAAAGTGTAAAAGACCATATGGATTTAGTCATCTTACAGTGACATGTTTCTAGTGGTCTAGGTGGATTAGTAACTGCAAGAATGCATAAAAATTATAGAACTTGAACATTGAAACATCATAAAAGCTGAGCTTAAGCTCAACTCATGCACAATTCTCATATTGCCCATGATAAGTAAGACTGTAAGAATGAAGCGTTTATCAGAGGCTATTTGATTCCAGAGGAAATTTCCAAATCTTGGCAGAAGAATTAGTAAAAAGCACATGAACTTCGAGCGGCCTCGACTTACCTCATGAGAGCCAATGATCAAAAGAGAAGTATTGGTGGGATGAAAAACACAGGTATGGAATATTTTTCCATTGCAGTTCAACTCATTAATGCAGTCTCCTTTGCCACCAGAACCAACTTTCCACACTTTAGCTAGGTCCTCACTTACAGATGCTAGATATTCACCAGAAGGATCCCAACACACAGAATGGATATGGTTTTTGTGACCCTGAAATGGCAAACCAGAAATTTAAAAGGAGAGATGGTATGAAGACAGTGTTAGTCACTACTTTGGAGAATTGAGGGGAAGCTAAAACAATCAGAGACTGCTATAATTTGCTCCCTTTTCAATTGTAAATCAAGGGTTTACTAATTATAAGATCCAAGTTCAATTATTTGAAGATACAACTATATACATTTTTTTTATAAGAAACTGCGCTTTAAAGCATACAAAAGAAAATGAGTCTAGCAAAGCGAGCATAGCTCAGTGGTAATTGGCATATATATCCAACTAAGAGGCTGTGAGTTCGATTTCCCACACCCACATGTTGTACTTAAAAAAAACTAACAAAAGGGGACCAGCCTATAAGAAGAGGTTGCAATCCAAAAGAATAATACTTAACTTATAATTACAAAAATCCTTCCGACACCCACAAGGGTACAACTTATTATTTTGATTAGTGTATGTGAGCAAAGAATTGTATTGAAGACATTATGCATAGGCTTGCTAGGAAGTACCCATTCAAGTATTCATTTCAAAATTTTCCAGAATCATGCATCCTTAACAATCAATGAATGAAAAAATTTTACATATAAAACAACCATCTTTCATGTAAATTCACAATTCAATAAATGAATCAGCCCCTGAAAGGTGGAAGTTACTTATTTCTACCATGTAAAAATCCTAAAATATCTTTTACAAGTCTAAATGAGACTGAAACTCTGTAATTTTAACATCCACAAACCTGTAATTTAAGCCTGCAAACTTGGGTTTCTACGTCAATTATGGAAACGGCATTTCCCACTGCTGCGGCAATAATTCTTCCATTATTAGGTTGAAACCTTAATTTTTTTGCACCACCCTGATTTAGTTGTCAAACATATTACCATCCAGAAGGTGAATACGATGTTTTTATAATTAAATACAAGGTACAGTTTAATAACGAATAATTAAGCATAAGTTCAAATCAATACCTTAAAAATGCCAACACAACTACTATTTTTAATGCTCCAGTACCTAATCTCGCTATTAACATCAGAAGAGCAAATGAGATCATCTTTACTAGGATGAAAGTCCAGTGATGTGACTCCAGTAGAATGTCCAGTAAAAGTCCGTAGCGACGGTCCACCCTGTAAAATGAATTTATATCTTCATCATTAAGGAAAATCAGGTGAGAAGAGTGCAAGGACCAACCAAATGACAGACGTAGCCCCATGAAAAAGAGTCATTGTCCTTCAAAGCTTATCAAAGTAAAATTTCTTGTTCTCTACTTAAAACTTGAGAATATTTTAGGAAGTTGACAGAATAAAACAAAACAAGATATCATGGATATGATCCGTCATGCATGAAGAAGACAGGTTCACTTACATTATCGACATCCCAAATTTTGACAGTCCTGTCACTTGAAGATGTTGCGATCTTTAACGCCCTTGAACTAAAGCAGACATCGGTTATCATTTGAGAATGTTCACTAAGTGTAGACTTCACTGCAAGAGACTCTGTGCACCACACTGTAACCTGCACCGTAAAATTGTTCAGAAATGTCCTAGAAACTAATACAGACGTACATACATATATATCTGTAAAGTAGCATACTTGACAAATCATCAAGAACATTAAAAGTTCGACCTGTAAAAGATTTAACAATTCTGATAAGCCACTTAATATACATTTTTTACCTTGTTATGCCCACCACTAGCAAGTAGTTTTCCGTCAGACGAGAAGCGACAACATTCAACTTTATTTTTACTGCCAGGAATACGACGAATTTCCTTCAGTGCAGGACCTTCAATTACATGAAAGGAATATATAAGAATGAAAAATATTATACTGCATTTCCTTGATCAAATTACAATTACAGCCTTATGCTATTCTTAAAGAGTTCATCATACCTTCGTTAGCATCAGATAACAAACCAACTTTATCTCTCTCAACTGCTCCGTCAGGAGATAGGAAAGACTCCACATCATATGGTCCATCATCCACGAGACAATCCACATCAGCCTGCCATGTGTTAATTCATTATTTATTTGCCAAATTAAACATTGTTATTATCTTTGCTAATTAGATTAAGTAAAAGTAATAATGAGAAAATACTCAAATCTACAACCAGATGACTTCAGGTGGCTGACTAGAAAAAACTTAAAAAGACTTGTATGAAAAACTTCTTTTATATAGCAAGTCAATATGGTGCCTTTTCTAGCAAAAACTTATCATTATAGGCTACTCTATTTCAATTGGAAGTGCAATTTTGATGTTGAGAAGAAAGAATAGAGAGATATATAGTTGAGCCTTCAGCACTGAAGTGCAGAAATCCAAAGAACACATCCATAGTTAACAAGAGGGTAATAAATAAGTATCAATATTATTTGGAAACATAATTGTGTAAGTTTGTCAACCTGATCATTAGCCTGAAAGTTATTGGACATATAACTATCAGCATTGGTGATCCCCGAACTGTTCAATTTATCTTGCTGCTGAATTAGGTGATTTGAATTCAGAGAATGTTGACTTGAAACTGGATGCTGCATGAATTGTTCCTGTTTTTGGTTATCAATCTTCAGTTGTTGCTGCTGTAACTGATAAATGCTATTAACGGCTGATATTTTCTTTTAAAAAAAAAAAAAAAGAAGAAGAATCAAAGATAAACATACATATAAAGAAGTCCCTGTTTGGTAACACTTCCATTTTAGGCATACAAAACTTAAGCTTGTTTACTAGAAAATTCTTTCTCTGTGTTTTTAATTTTTAAAAACATTTTTGAAATCTTAGCCATATTTGTAAAACAAAAGCCAAACTTGTTATTTTTAGTTTTAAAGTTTTGGCTAGGATACTATAAACATTATCTAAGAAGTAAATTAGAAAAATATAGAAATCATGAGTTAAGAAATTTTTTAAAAACTGAAAATTAAAAACGCATCAAACAGATCCCACATGCTTCCAAGATATTTTTTAAAAAATAATATTAAAAATAAAGTTTGAAAGGAAATATTTTCAACTCCAATCAAATTAAAAAGAAAATGTGGAAAAAAAGAAGATACCTTGGTCAGCATATCTGCATTTACATGTGGCAAAACAGGACAAACTGGTGCCAATGGATCAACACCAGACACGTCAACAAAGCATAATTGTTTTTTCTTTCCAATATTCATATGTTGACTTAAAGGCACTCCCGGTCTTTTACACGCCACATTGGCAGAAGGAACACCCAAGTTTCGAGGTGTCTGTACTGCAAATGGATGCTGCAGCTGAAACTGATTGGAAGTATGACGCAACTGGATGAACAGCTCAGGTTGTTGAAGAATCCTAGAGCTAAGAGGATCCAATCTCTAAAAGCAGTAAAATGTATCAGAAAGGAAGACAAATCTCACCATCATATTAATTTATTATAGCCTTTAGGCTTTAGAATTATTAGATCAGAAAAGCAACTACGGTAAAAGAAGCCTTAAAAAAGCACCACCCCCCATGATACATATCAGGTGGAAGAACATGCATGTCAAGCAGTTCCATTTAGGGAATCTAGTTCAGTTCACACGTGTTAGATCCCATATTCTAAATGAGAACATTGAACAGAAGTTACTACTGATCCTCTGTGAACATCAATGAGTAAAATTTCATTTAGGTGACATTCAAACAAGTCGACTACAAACAGTGGGGAGATAAAGAACGAGATATTTAATGACCTTGTCTACAAGTACCTGAGGGACTAGATACACGCCTCTTTATGCAACTTGGATCCTTAACTCTTATTCCAATATTTCTCTTTTGAGCAAAACGTATAAATGCTGACTTTCTTTCCAGCTACATTCCATAATCAACATTTATACAGGTTCTTTAAATTATAAAAACAAAGAGTATGCAAATTAGTGCAAGAAGGAGCATGCATATAATTTGTGAGTTTGAATCCTTACAGTTGAAGGATCAGAAAATTAAATTACATTGAGATCTTTAAGAATACCTTTGGAAGCCCATTGGTGATCAATGCATTCCTTTGATTAGGGAGTGTCAAATTTTCCCCATACATTTTTGCAGCCATTTTATTTGCATTTGTTGGGTTCTGTATATCGAACGAATTGTTCATGACAGGCCTATTCACAGTTGTAGGATTCTGCTGAACACTCTGTAAGTAATGTTGTTGCTGTAGCTGCCAATCTCCAGCCTTCTTTAACTGAGTTTATTAGATCCAAAATAAAATCATTTTTTCAAGAAATACTTGTCCAATAACACATATATAATGCAATTAATTATAGATATCAAGTTCTGGAAGATGCATGTAATAAGGGATTAGATATCATAACAACATAGTTCTATTGTTTTGCTCAGTGTAGCATTCCTTCTCTCCTTAAAACACCAGGAGGGGTTGGGGGATCTAATCCAGCTAAAATCTCAAATGAACCTTGATGTAAGATGCAGCAGCTTCCGAGTGCTGCGGATTTATGCGGGTGATGAATATGTCCCAGAAGACAGACCACCATTCCAAAAGAAAACCACCAGGTGCGTCAATAGCTGCATAATGGGATTCAAAAGAGATGGCAGATTTAGCTGTGGATATATGGAAGTTGGGAGATCATTAAGTTTAAATTACAGTGATCCTTCACACATTCGTACCCACTGAATCCATAAAAACTTTTCCTTCATCCAGAAAAGACCTTGCAGAAGCATGTAGTTTTCTCTTCAAGAGGTAGTCATAGATATAAACATCCAGCCTATATCAAAAAGAACGAGAACAGACCCCACTCAGAAGGATGTAGAATGATTAAAAAAACATATATCAATAAGTCAAAAGATCCTGGCAAAAGTATGACATTAAAGAATAATAGAACTATATTGAGTTGGAAAACAGAGTCTAGTAAGAAGCAGCAATTACATATTCAATACTCTCGCTTACTGAAACACCAAACTAATGTTCAACTCCTCTCCAAACCTTCCTCACCTCTGTTACGCTTTTTATTCTATTTTATATATTTATTATTATTTGCCTCTCATCTTCAATCATAAGAACTCGTCCTCTGTCTGGTTCCCAATAAAATATAATACTACAAATTTCTAAATTAATATTTCTACACAATCCCAGATGAGAAATGGTAACTTCATCTTAAACAGTGGAAGGAACAGACTAGGGGACTGTTACTAGCCTTTTAGCCGGTTTGTCTACGCAATATAAGACATGGAAGAAAATAGGCAAAGAAAAGTGTACAGATGCCTAGGAACCCCAAAGTACCCACCATCCCATCAAAAAAGAAAAAGGGTTGGAACATTGACACCAAGAACAGCAGGGCAGCAAAACAAGGTGAAAATCAGATGCTAAAAAGCCAAAAAATGGTCAGCCACCAGTAAGCAGGTTTAAATCCCTCTCGGAAAAAAAAAAGCAAAATGCTAACAAATAAATGTAAGAGATGGAAATACCAGTTCCTCCTCCCAGATACATAAACAACAACAAACAAAGGGCAGATGAAGCATTAACAAATTACGATTGATACGACATCTGGGCGGCAAGGAAGAACAAAAAGAATAGTAGAAAACAAGAAATGCAAACGAAAACAAACCCCACGACGAAAAAGGGATATACAATAAAAAATTTGTACCCCCAAAAAGGGAAGAAAACACTCTTTGACTGGAAGTGAAAGTTTGAAACTAACACAGTAGCACAGGACAAGGCGGGAGAATGAATAAACCCCAGAAAAAAAAAAGTATGAGTATCATATTGAAATAGTAGAGGCTGCATGGTACTTGCATTTTGTCAACTTCCCACATAGCTTCAGACATGATTTGACTACAGTATTATTTAGTTCTGCAGCGGATAATCCCAAGAACTGAAAGAAATCGAAAAGAACTGGAGACGAATGCTCAGAAAATCTCTTGGTTTTGGGAAACGGCTTTTGAAATGTTTTCGGGGGACGATTAAGGATAAGTAATGGATTCTAAAAAAACGGGTTTTAGTGGGGCTCTGATTCTCCCTCCATAGACCCTAGTCCCTCCATTTCTCCATCTTCCTCTGCTACGCGCAATGATGACACGTAATCGCTCCCTGAAAAGTTCACCCTTCACACTCCTATTTGCCCCTATAGCCTATAGCTTGCTGCTGAAGTTTCTTAGGACCATTTTAAAATGTTTTCAATTCTTGTTTGTCATTTTTTCTTTTTTTAATTAAAAGAAACATAATTGTATTGTATTTAATAATTGTTTCTCATTTTTTTTCCTTTCATAATATTTATGTTTTATTTCTTGGTCTATATAATTTTAGATTGAAAAAGTAAAAATAATTTTGGGAATTATATATATATATATATATATTATTTCTTTTTAAAAGTGCCACTTTTCCATCAAGGTGTTTTGAAGCTATTTTCCCAAAAGAGTACCATGAGCATTTTATCTATATTATGAAAGAAGTTATGATAATTAATAAAATAATTTTTAGAAAAATGTTTATTTTGTATTTTTATAGATTAAAAATGATAAAATAATATTTTTGTTTGTGTTTTGAAAAAAAATTAGAAACAAAAACAATAAATTCGATTGGGTTGTTTCTAAAATTTATACACAATTGTACAAATGTTTCTTATTCAAATAAGAAAGGTTATGACCGCCAAAAAGATAGATCAACATATCTCTAAACTTAGAATGTTATTCCTATTTGGTCTTCAAATTTTTAAGACTTTTAAAGTTCACACCTAAATAATATTTTAATATTACATGTTTTCATATTTTTTAAGTTGTTGATTCGAATCTCTAAATTTTTTGTCATTAATGTATGATATTTATAACTAATTGAGTTGGAATCAAGTTGGTGTGGATCCGGATATAATTAGTTGGATAAAAGTGTACTCATTACCATGTCAAATATAAATTATATAAGTGTATGTATATGTTTTGAGGATAGGAATTTCAACGGTGGGAATATGATTTATTTATTATTATTATTTTTTTGAAGAACATGATTTATTGGTTTAGTATCGCACACAAATAGAGTTTTGAATCTAAAAACAAACTTAGTATTAATGTGCATTCATGAAAGTATGAATTTGGACATATATATGATACATAATTAGTAATAGATTAAGTCTAACAAACCTACATAATATTATGTATATATATTAATATTGATTATATGAATATGATTTTTTTTTTGACAATAATAAATATGAGTTCATCCTCAAGAAATGATGATTAAAGGTTAGTGAAATAAAAAGATGACCAAGTATGAATAATGCGAGACCAAATACGTACGATGGAAATGACCATATATTGTAAAGATTGACTCAAAAGTATATTGTTAACAAGCGTGTCGTGTTTAGGAAAGGTTAAAACATGAAAAAAAAAAATTTGTGAGCAAAACAATTAGAAATAAATATGTTTAAAAATAAAATGATTAGAAAACAGGATTTTTAATCATTTTTCTTGGACCCTTTTAAATAGTAGAAAATGTTATTGATGAGGAAGTTGAACGGGTGTTGATGAATAATGCAATGGATAAATGGAAGAGGGAAAATAAAGGAATCGGAAAAGATTAAATAAGAGAGCATTATTCCTTATAAGCTGTTACAATTCCATTGATATCTTTTTATTTTTTTATTTTTTTTATTTTTAATTTAATTTAATTTTTATTTGTTAGACATTTTAAAATATATTGTCGTTTCCCTTCCGTTCATAGAAAATTTTCAAATGGAATCTATTTATTCCACATTCCAAATAAGTGTCTCAATGGAATTTTGATTTTTCAAAATATAGCAATTCCATTTATTATATGTGTCATAAATGTCTCGATTAAAACGGAAACATATGCTGATTTTTAAAAAGTAGATCAATAATAAATGTCTCAATTCTTACCTTAAATAAAATAAGTCTAAGAAAACAACGTAATAATCTAGAGTGTATATAAAAGGGGTAATAATAGAGTATATATAAAAGGGGTGATGGAGAGAAACTTCTTCTCCCTGTTTTGTCATTTTAATTTCAACATTCCCATAAATATTTTGAGGACAATTTTGTCCTTCAAATATAAATTTTTCTCTCCCCCTCCCTCTTTCTCTCCTCCACAGGCTACTTTCCCTTTTATTTTTTATTTGTTTTAAAATATTTAATCTCCATCATTACAAATTTTACTTTTCTAAAATTATTTTTTCTTTCTAATAAACTCTCCATCTTAAATGTTAGAATATAAAGAGTTAGAATATTGAGGATTTTGTCTCTTTATTTCTATGTTAAAAAGTTATAACTTATTTTGAATTATAATTAATAAGGAATTTCAAAAGTTTCGTAACTTTTTATTTTCTACAACTATATAAAGAGTTTTTTCTTACTTTTTCTCCCAATTTTTTCTTCATCAAAACTTGAGTTTCTTTTCTCTTTCGGTATGTTAATTTTCTCCTTTAGTCAATGTCTTGTGTTTTCTTATATTTAGTTAGATTGTTTGATCGAATATTCAACTTTTTTAGTTATTTTTTTTTCCAAATGACTCAATCAACTGGAAAAAGGAAAGATAAAATGAGTGATAAGATCGAATCACCTTGGATGGATCTACTTTGGGATGACACTTGATAACCACGAAGACTCTCTCAATGACCTCGTCCTTCATAAGGTGATCATCGTGTGATGAAAATAGTCGAAGCAATCCATCGGAACATGGTTGTGGTTGGTATTCCCGACGAGCTAAGGCAAGAAATTGGACCGGAACTCGAACATGACAAAGAATGACTGTCCTTAACGCATCTCTATCTCTTACTATTTTTTTTTGTCATTTTATTTTTCAATGACTCAAATAAGAAATTGAAACAAAGTTTTATTTACTTTTATGTATCGTTATGTTTAGGGAAAAAAATGAAAAATCCATGAATATGTGTTTTATTTAGATTTTTTTTAAAGTAATTGAAGAATAATACTTTTAGTCACACTAACCGCATCAATGAGTGATAAGGATTATTGAGACGTTCTTTTATGAGATAAACATTGAAAATACGAAAAAACTTGGTGAGGTAAACATTTAGAGATAAAAAAAAACCAAATTAGATTATAAATTTTAACTATTTAATTAAATTTTATATTTTTAAACATTGAAATAAAAAATATGAAATTTGGTGCACGTGTTTCTTACTAGTAATAATAAAATCAGCATAATAAAAGAGAATAGTGATTACCAACCTGAGTTTAACTCAGCAGTAATTGACACATACTCTTTCTTTTGAGGTCAAATGTTCGAAATCTCATACCTCAATTTGTTGTAAGAGAAGTAATTTTGGTAAAAAGAAAAAAGTCTCAATTTCCTGAAATATGAAAACATATAAAAAAACGAAAATACTTCGCTCTTAACGGTAAGGAACAACTTTGTCCTCACCAACAATAAATGTTTCACAACCAAGAAAGAGGAATGCAAAAAAAAAAAAAAAACAGTGAAGATCAAATACTGTCTTCATCACCATTGAAAATTTGACAACTCATTATTAATTTTTTAAAGTCTACGTTTTTACATTTCTCTCTTTTAGTTGTTAAACATTTAATGATGATAATAAGCTATCAAATTATGTTTTTTTTTTTTCGTAGAAAATACCATGGCCACATAAACAAAACTCAACACACCCACCGCTTCTCTTAATATTGGAGATTCAAACTATAGAAAACACTATATAAGTAAAAATAAATGTAAAGTATTAATTCAGATAACAACAAAAGACAGATTAGTGAAATATGACTAAACTATATAGATTAAATTAGAAAAAAATGTAAACTCATACAAATTAAATTCAAATGATAAGGATTAAATTAAAAATTTAAAAGTGGTTATGACAAAATTAAAATTAAAGACTTAGAAAATTACCCTCCAAGGCGACTCTAGTCTCTCTCTCCCCCTCTCTCACGCATCAGGTGTGGCCTCGTCACGCACTCTCTCCCTCTCACCAACTGGCTGCTTTCTTCACGCCACTCTCTCCGTCTCAACTAAGCAATTCTTAAAGGAAAAAAATAAAAAAACTCTATGCCAGTGGTTGGAGAATAGACAATGTACATATAAATATTAAAACGGTTTATTTAGAACCCGTTTGGTAACGTTTTTTTTTTCTTTTATTCGAATGATAAGTCATATTATTTCTGCTCATGGTAATCAACGATCCACTTTTCTTGGTCTATTGCTTATAAAACATCTGAGAGAGTTCTCTAAGTACATGCTAACCACCTCAATCTGGAGGGGAAAGCTATACTTAAATCATGTTAACTATCACAAATTCGAGAATGATAAAAAAATATTTTTATTTATATTTTGAAACAAAATGAAAACGAGAAAAAAGAAATTTATGTTATTTTCAAAATTTATATACAATTTTGAGGATGTTTTAAAAAAGTGAGAAACAAAAGACATAAATAATGGTTAAATGCTTAACTATCCTAATAGAATTGAACACGAAAAACAAGAAACGAAAACGTTGGCAAACTGGTCCCTTTTATATATTTAATCAAATAAAGTAAAAATGCAAGACCAAGATCCAACTGAAAATATTTGCAGAGTAAAATGGAAATATGAATAGCAAGGGCAACCTTGTTTATTCATTGCACTAACTAAATACAATAGAATCAACCTAAACTAGCAAGGATCTAGAACTCGTACAACATCCTCTTTTTTTCTTCTTTCTATTTTATTCTTGGAAATCGTCTTTGTCATTGATGGGAATCGGCCTGTTCCTCCAGAAGACAGCAAGAGCACTGCCACCAAGCTGTTGGGAAGATAACAAATGAAGAACATAAATGTTTTATACACAGGTTTCCCAACAAAATAGTTCATAGAATGGTATATGGAAATCAAAAAGAAGCAAGAACAAGAGCAAGAAAATGAAGATCCAAGCCAATAAACAGAGAGAACTCTTACAGCCATGCAAACGACACTAACTGCGGATGGGACCGCGACGAGGGGATTCGTGAAATGCTTTTGAGCGAGTAAAAACCCAAGTGCAGAGCTCTGAAAACAAAATGACATTACAGATAACAATTAGAAAAGGAAAAAAGGTTATTTGAAGTTTCTGTTGCTTGTCAACCTAAACATAGTTCAATGACATTAAAACTCTCAAAGTCTCGCTCTCTGTCACGAAGCCAGCTGTTACCTGCATCCCGCATTCTATCGAAATTGTGCGGGAGGTGGATTCCCCGAATGATATTTTTGAAATCCAGTAACCGAGAGCAAATGCAGCACCATGGAGAATGGCAACTGGCAACAACAGTTGGGCTCCTTGAGCTTTCAAAACTTCTGCAACTTGCCCAATCTTCAACATGAGAGAGTCAGAGACATTGATCAAAGGACATTACAACAAATAAATGAGAAAAGGAATGTAAAAAAAAACTGAGTCTAAGACTGCATAATATTTTTGAAACTTACAGGGCTGGCACAGAGGAGAGTAGTAAGGATAACTCCAATTAAAGGTGTCACTGTGATTATCTTTGCAGTGAATTTGGGGAAGAATTCATTGGCTAAAACTGCCACCAAGAGCAATGACGGTTGAGGATGAATTTCGCTAACTAAATTTGAATATTTATTCATTCTTCGAAGGCATTTTTTCCATAAAGTTACCTCCAATAACAGTTGGAACCAAAACCACCTGAAAAGTGCTGATAGCAAGACCCTGTAAGAACAGCAATGAAAAGAGAGACAACCTTAGGTCAAAACGATTGGAGGATAAGATCAGGGAATTCTAAACTCTTTAAGTGTAAACAGCCTCATATCATATCTTGTTTCTTTATGTTCAAATAAATTCTCCAACAAAATATACTGATAATTAAATGTTAATTACTTTTTCAGTTTCTTTCTTCAATGATCAATGTCATTGTCAGCAGATTCAAAAGTGTCTTCAGATTACTTTTTATTAGGAAACCTCTGCTTTTTGTTTTTTGACATATGATCATTTACAGAAGCAAACAATGTTTAAGCCAATTTGAGTTTTGGAAATCACTGGTGTCATGCTCCTGCCTCAAGCAACTATAGTTTAGATGAGTCTCTTAAGTTACTGTGCCAAGTAATGAACCTAAAGATCATCGGTCGGATCGGATCTAAGCACAACTTAACAAATGGATATTAGGAAAGGTGAGCTTGTGATCTGAACTTACAGCAGCATCAACTGGAACAAGTTGACCAGCAAGAAGCTTGGTAAGCAGCGGTGTCATGACGATAGCACCAATGGTCGAACACCTGGATAAATTCGAAGAGAAGAGAAGGTTAGTTAGTAAGGACAGCCATTTGCAAACAAAAATCAAACTACTAGAGTAGGATATTAGTGTGCAAAAAATGATCGCCAGAATCTGCTCAAATCGAACAGGAAAATCTTACTATCCAAACATGTCTTACGTCGTCATGAGAACCGAAAGTGCAACATTTCCTTTAGATATATAAGTAGCAACATTTGATGCCTGTCCCCCAGGGCAGCATGAGACCAATATAAGACCAGTTGCAAGAGGTGCAGACAGTTTGAGAGTCTGAAATGAAAAAAAATTAGTTGTTATCTTCATCGGTTCTATCATTTCATCTTGATATGGAGCTAATACATCCCATCGTGAAACTAGTGGTAGTTAGTAATTACCATGGAGATGGTAAAGCCTAACATGGGTTTAATTAAGTACTGGGCAAGAAATCCCACACCAACCTGCAACCAGAAAAAGAGATGTAAATAATATAAACATATACATTTTATCAGTATTATACGGCTCAAAAGCAAACAATGCCTCTTACAGTCCATGGATTTCTTAAACAACGTCTGAAATCCTCGAACGTCAATGTCAATCCCATCGAAAGCATAAGAAAACCCAATGCCACGGTAAAAAGATCAGTCTCCAACCAAGTTACCTGCAGGAAGACTCATGGTGAGTGCTAGTTGATTCACCAATCATCAATCGAGAAGAATAAGAGTGAGATCATTACTGCAGCGGGTCGATAGATACCAATAACAGTTCCAAGGATAACCTGTTGATAAGTGGAAAACTTGAGATTAAAAGGCAATGCTCCAGAATATAAAGCTAAAGCATCACATTTTAGCACAAAATGCAATAACTAATGCACTAGTATCAGATTCACAAAAAACAGAAGTAATAAACATACCCAAAGAGGAAAAAGTGTTGTTAAAGTTTCAATAGTTCTTTCGTACAGGCTCGTTCCACTGGGAGAATTACCAGGGACATTTCCAGATGCATCATTTGCAGCTTTGCATAACATTTGAAGTTTCCTGAGTTGATGTTTCATCATGCATGATTATATGGTATGGTCTCTAACATATGAATACCTAACTATATCCACGAACAGTACCAATAAGCATAGAGAATGGACGAAATTCTAGACTGCAGATTCTGATCAAGATCGTTTAAATGCTTACTTTAAAACAAGAAATAAAAAAAGGAGCCAGAGAAAATGTCTAACATGTCGGGTACGTTCTGATATTTAAAAAGTATCTAATAAATGTTTGATTCAAAGACTTCACAGTATGAACGAGTTAAAAAATGCATGGTCCTGACAATTAGCAAAGTAAAGATTGAATACGAGAAATAGCCACAAGTTCCAGAACACACCTTGAAGTTTGACCTACTGCACAAGGAGAAGCAGAAGAAAGGACCGGCCTAAGCAGCATGAACTGGGCTACTAAACTTCTCCCATTATCAGATAAACAGAGCTTGCCCTTTACGTCTAAATCAAAAGACAAGGACAAAACGAAACCAAAATTAAATCCGTCCACCATATTCAGCGAACAAGAACTCGTATCTCGGGAAACTTTAAACTACAAGCACAAAATAGAGCACCCAGATAGAGAATCGCCCTAAACTATAGCTATAAAACATACCCAGATGAGCTTGAGGCTTCATAGCAGAGGCAGAGTAGCTTCGCCTACAGATAGCATCGTTTCTCTGTAATCTGCAATCTTTGAAAGCGAATTTTGAAATTGACGCCATTGAAGTTGCTGTAAGAAGTACGGAGTTGTAGTTATAGCTGAATCCAAGCAGGGGCAGCGCCCAATTAGAATTGGTATTCCACATATAGAAACTGAATTTTTGAATCGGAGCTCTTGTCCAATATGGAAAGAATTGGGGATAGCGTTTTTGGTTGTGAGAATCGAGAAACCACTCGAGTTTTTTTCACGGGTCTTCTCAAATTTCTGCAACCAAGCGGCAGAAAACGTAGCGGGAAGCCCCTTTTTTCTTGTGATCTGATTTCGCGTAGGCAGTAGGCCTTATGGTTCTTGTCTCTTATTGCACATTTAAAACCCAACCAAAAGGAGTGACAGAACTCAGAAGTGATCAGTTTTCTTTAAATAAAATTACGATTTTGTTTTTACGTAATTAATTTATCTGCTCGTTGTTCTATGTCTCATTAAATGATTGTGAGACGATGGTTTTCGAAAATCGTTCAAGTTCTTACTGGGTTACTGGAGATCGAGTAGAGCAGCCTTTTTGGAAGCCACATTTAAATAAAAGAAAAAAAAGAACTTTTTAAATGATTTGATCTGACAGAATATAGTTTAGAACAAGTTTTAGAAAGAAAAGAAAAAATCAGAAATTATATTATTTAAAATAAAGTATCAATAAATATATTCGTTAATTGCCTCAATTTAAATGTGTTAAAGGTTCAGAATTTATACAAAGGAAACGTAAAGGAAAAGAGAATAGTAAATCCATGTTTAAACAATTTTGAAGTGTTGAGATTATAGGGGGAATGTAACCAACGTCTCACATTGATTAGACGAAAATGATTTACGGTATATAAATGATGACAATTATCTTTATTGGTATGATGTATTTTAGATAAAATCAAAAGTAAAGACGTAAAAGTTATGCTCAAAGCAGACAATATCGTATTATTGTGGAGATACTTAAGGGTATGAGGGTACCCTTGTCCTTAGTGGTATCATAGTCATGGTCTAAACCTAACTGTGTCAGCGAAATCTCGAATGCCGAACAAAGAAGCAGTGAGCTAGTTTTCATTCTGACTCGACTCGAGAGTGGTTGGACTGTTGTTAACTACTCGAGGAGAAGGGAGGTGTAATTTGTTGGATGAGAAGATTATTGAATTTGTAGGGGATATCAAGTACCATTATAAATTCCTAAAATACAACCCAACATTCCTGTGCCCAAAATTTAAGACATCATCAGATCAGATTGAGTTAAAAAATATATTCAACAGAATAATTTTATTATTATTATTATTTTTGATACAACATTCAACAGTAATTTAAGATTGAACAAAAATAGTAAACGAGAAATAAGGTTTTGCGAGAAACGTATACAGTTGGGCCAACTTGGGCTCATGAGTGGATCCAGTGGGCCAACTTATTGGATTAGAAATGGGCCGGATTAAAAAAGCTCGTTTGGAATCGCTCGGCTGAGAGGGGAGGCCCACGCTGAGTAGTGTCGCTCTCATGCCCCGCTGGATAAGGTCTCTTCTGGACGTGTGTGTCGCGCTCGCATGGACCACCGGATTTCTATTCGCAGTTCTCTTCTCTTAGACTGAAATCTGCAGCAAATTACCAATATTTGGTTGTCCGTCTAAACGGAGTCGTTTACACAAAAGTTTGAATTTGCTTTTTCTAAATTTATTAGAATACTTTAAATATATTGGATTATATATTTTTAAAATGTCAATGTGTGTCTTTAAACTGTATAATTTTTTTTTTGTTCATTTTAGTCCATTTGTGTCTTTAAACTGTGTGATTTTAGTCAATATGCAGCAAATTACCAATATTTGATCGTCCGTCTTTAAATATCTGTCTTTAAACAGATATTTTCGTAGTAAAATGATTAAAATGAACAAAAATTGAAATTACATAAATCGAAATGAACTTTTTTAAAAGATCAAAATAAACCAAAGTGGAAAGTATATAGTAGAGACCAAAATGATATTTAAACCTATTAAAATTGAGCCTTAGATTGGGGATGCAAATAATAGTCCTACCTAAATTATGGATCACAGGTACATAAGTAAAGTATAACTCAGTATGAAATTCTTTTAAGAATAAAAAAAGTTATGCAAGTTTAAGGTCAAAGTAAACAATATCGATGGTTGAACTCACCTTCGTTATAACTACATATATCTTAATTTATAGGTTTACCAATATGACATAAAACAAACTTTTGACCAAAAAAATTGATGAGTTAAAATTTTTACTCCTGCATATTTTATATTAAAAATATTGAATCTTTATATTTAAATTATAATGCCTAACAAAAATGTACATATGAAATATAATCTAAAGACGAACTTTTCTGATGGATTAAATTAAAGAAATCGGCTCATGATGTATAGTTGGATTCAAATTATTTGGGTTGATTTTGTTTAGGTGGCAAATGGCAAAAGGCAAGCACAAGTGGCGTTTTGTCAGTGGAGGAGCGGATTGGGGTTGGTTTTGTTTGCAATTGCATGTAAAAAGATGACACAAAAAGCTGCTCTTCTTTTTTTCTTATTTAAGAAATGTGAACTGGAAAGTGAAAGACAAATCACAGAGATTAGAATTAGGGAAGAAGAGAGGCGTGTGATTAATTATGTTGAGAAGCCTCCCATTGTTAGTGCTTCTAATAATAATTATTGGCTTAATTTGCAGGCACCAGGCCTTTAATTTATTATGAAACTGGAATTCCAGCTACATTATCAAACTCATCACACAAATGTCAAATGCCCGTCCATTTGTTGAGCTCGTGCATTATAATAGACACATTTATATATCAAAATTTACTTGATTTTTACAAATTTATTATATCGAATCTTTTTCGTAAACTTGGTCCAAATAGGATTAAAAAACACACTTGGTCATTGTCCAGTAACGATTTAGTTCCTAAACTTTAGTTTATAACAATTTAGTCCCTCTATTTTCACTAAAGTAACTATTTAGTTCCTAAACTTTAATGTGTAACGATTTAGTCTCTGTAATTTAAATTTTGTAATAATTTAATCCCTATTGTAAAAAATTTAATTAAAAATTAAGCTTCAAATTTTATTATGTAACAATTTAATCTTTCCCACTTATAAGTATATTGAGGCCCTCTTTAGTTTATCTATATATATATATTAAAGAAACTGAAAAAAAAATTCATAATAAAGACTAAATCATTACAAACTTTAAATTATAAATACTAAATTGTTACATATTAAAGTTCAATGATTAAATTGTTCACAATTTGAAAGTACATAGATTAAATTGTTACCTATTAAAGTTGATGAATTAAATTGTTGTAAAAATACCAGCACCAAATGTGTTTTTTAGCCTTAGAACTAATAACATCATAACATTGAGTTTTTTTAAGTCGACGTGAGATACAAATCATTATAATTCTATAAGAAAAATATTTTTTCATAGACTATTGATCTACCCCTAGTTGATATTAGATATTTTTTCTTTGTCATTTGCTTTCACTCCTCACCACTATAAAAAAACGTTGTGGCTAGAAGATACAATGGTATCATTGTATCTCCAAGTATCTTAACAATTGTATGATATTGTCTACTTTGGACATAATTCTTGCAACTTTACTTTTGATTTTACCCAAAATACCTCATATCAATGAAAATAATTGTCTATATCTATATACCATGAATTACTCTATTCTCTGAACAATATTGAACTTTGTTTCCAAGTCTTGTATCCAACCAGCCCTACATTGAAGATGTGTAAGATGGTTTGCAAATGATCCAAAATGAAGTTTGAATCAAGCTAGGACTTGGCAAGTGTACAATTCAATTCATAATATTTCCAAGATCAAAGTACCAATTATTATAAGTCCATAATTATTATTGTTATCATCTTTTATTTTTGGTTGACGAAAGCAACAATCGCGGCATATACAGTGGCTTAAAAAAGTCTGTCAGAATAATATTCAAATTCACGTGGGCTTCGCTTATTTTCCAATTTCCAAACAACCAATTACATAGCATAGGCCAAACCTTCAATTAATTAAAAAAGGTAAATTCTCTCTATTCAAAAGAAAAACATTAAGTTGTATTTTTTGGTTTTTATTTTGGTTGGAAATGATTTTACCGACCAAAGTCAGGAGAGGCAGCGGGTGGGACAATTCCAGAAAACCAACTGGGGGCGATCAGTGAAGTCAAAGTTGCAGCCTGCACTCTTCCGTGTGTCCCATATACCCAATCTTCTCGTGATTTTTCAACCAATGACCAAAATTTAATTCTACCTTTCTCTACTACTCTCTAGTTTTTTCAGGTACAACATGAAGGTTGGAGATCGAAACCACAATTTTTTTATTGACATATATGTTAATTACTGCTGAGTTATATTCGTTTTGGTATTTTTATCTTTTATTTAATTTTTGTATTTCAAGTCTTAATTTAAATTTTAACAAAAATTATTAATCTGAATATAGTTTAACTGATTAAGACATTTATCTATAACTAGAAGTTTGTGAGTTCAAATTCTTACCTCCGTGCTAAAAAAATATAATAATAAAAAATAAAAAAACTTCAAACAAAAGCTAACCTTTAAAAAAGAAAAAGATAAATAAATAAAATACTAGTTATTAGACAGTTAAAAGGAACACAATAAAAATGTAAGTATAAGCTTAGTTAAGTGGTAATTTGCACATGTTTCCAATGAATAGGTCAAGAATTGGAATTCCCTCAACCCCACTTATTGCACCTTCCACTATTTGGTCGATTCTATATGCAAAATTAAAAATAAAAATAAAATCCAAAGATTTAATCTTTAAATATAAAATTTAAACATTTTGAGACCATCCTAAAATAAGTAAAAGTCCAAATTAAGATTTAATATTTTTATTTTTACTTTTAAATTTAACCGGGGTAGATATTTGAACTTCTAATTTAAAAAACAAATGTAATATCATGACTAGTTGAATTATACTTATATCAACACTTAGTTTCATCTTTTATTTTATATCAATGGATCTCGAACTTTTATTATAAATATGCATTTCAAAACTAACCAAATGATTTTTAAATATTATTAAGTAATATTTGTTCATGCATAGACCTGTCAAAACAGTAAGGTTTGTCTCTTCTGTAAGTCGAGTGACCTACAAAATAAAGGAGAACACTCCGATGCCTAAGTCAGTATTGGTTGGAGAAGGCGGTTAGTGTATTTAGAAGAGATTCGAACATACTTAGGTAACAGATTACTCAACCTTCTTATGGGTGATAGAAGCTAAATCGATTGGTAAGGAAGGTCAAGACTCTCTCCCTCAAATTTGGTTGTGGCCAGACTGGCGATGGGCGCTGAATACACTCAATCGAGTTCACCTTTTAAGCGCACTGATGGCTGCAATGATAAGACGAGCTTGACCTGGCTCGTCCGTGTGGTTGGACGAATATTACCAGGTCCGCGTATCTATTTCGCTGTTCAAAATGTGGCTGCCCATTTTTTCCTTTCATAAGGATATTATTTTAAACATCTTATGATTCTTGAAAATAAATTCTTTCATCTCTTGATTGCATAAACTATAATCCCATCAAATAGTACTAAAAGAAAATAATAATAAATCCCATGGAACAGAAGCAATGTCTCTAGATACAGTCACGAGTCAATAATTATCCAAATTTTCAATTGAAAAAAGATGCGGCCTGTGGGTGCAATAATTCAGATTTTTTGTATAACATTTCATCAACCTATTTTCAAATTATACTTTTCATTTTTTGTATTTTAAATGGTATTACATTCACCACTATATTTTAAGAGAAATTATGTTTCCTCATTTATTAAATTCTACTTAAATTAATAGGAAGATTAATATCTGTAAGTTGTAATAGGAAAGATGGAAACAAAGTTGTTTTGAAAAACATGGGGATAATGTATGTATTAAAAATTAAAATAGAATAAATATAAAATATATACGGAAAATAATAGAGGTTTGAGAATATTACCTCAGGAGTCAGAACTCTGTGGGGCCCAGGTACAGGTTGGGTACCCCACCACCGCACAGTATGGCGCGTCCGGAAGCAGCATCGGCTTTGGAGAATGCCGGGTGGGTCCCACTATCTTTTGCTTCACTATCATGGCCGCTCACATGGCTATCACACTACACTACCGCTTCCCCAACCAAATCCATTCTCACGCGCCACAATCGCGAGTGATCCAAATACGTAAATTATTGTTTTTCTAGAAAATACATAATTTACTGATTAACCATAAAATATCCAACAATTAACATCAAAATTAAATTAATTGTACCGAAAAAAAAGCACCAAACAAAAATTAAGGTTGAAATGGTAAATTTCGCCCATTGAATATCATCTTTAGTAGATTCTAAACTTTCTAAACGTTACATACATTTCGAATATAATTTAAACTTTAAATATTACAATCATGTCACATGTTATTAATTTTTTTATTATCCAAGAATCCTCGATTCTTTGACCTTTATATTTCTATAAGTGAGAGTATGTGCATTGTCCCATACTATTGTTATTAGACACAAAATAAAAAATTTAAACATCCATTAGAAGGTATAGCCAAAAAATAATTACCATTTTAAAATAAACATGAAAAGAGTGATTAATATTGTATTTACTAAGTTAGGTAGACGTGAATGATTACTAGAAAAGAAGGATGTATCTCGAATAATAAGACTTTTTTAATGAAATTAAAAGTAAAATAATAAAAGTGTTTTTTTGGTTGGAACTTTTCTTTAAGCTTAAATTAGATTTGAAAACAAAAATATTTAAACTTAAATTAATAAGATTAATCTAAAACAACTTCCGGAAGAGACTGCAGTTGCAGAGGCCTGCTTCTGGTTCTAGTTATCATCCAGCTCTTCTCCCTTTTGCTTTTGCAGAAGCCTCTCCTGGTTTTGTTGCACCCCACCGTCAGGAACCTCCATTCACAACCAGCCCCATATAGAAGACAAAACAAAACAAGCTCTCAATCCTTGTTTTTTCTTCTCCAGATTTCTTCCTTTGTTTTCTAATGGCTGCCGTTTTTTACTTTAGGAATTGTCTCCCCATTTTCCTAATTTCACTTCTCCTCCTTCACCGAGCCCAATCGGAGCCTTCCGCCGACAAGGAAGCTCTCCTCGATTT